TGTCCAAAACGAATTTGAGAAAATTTTCGATTACATATCGTGAAAGCTTGATACTTTCCCTACAAAATCGTTTTTTTTAAATATTCCTACGACTTTTGATTACTGAGTTATCGCGGATTAAATAAAAGAATTATTTTGACTTTAATTGCTCATAACTCCATTAAAAATTGTCGTATCGTATAATTTAAAAAAGATATTTTTAAAGCTGAAACTTTACTCTATTAAGATATATTTATATTGTTGGTAAGAAAGTAATTGCGGTTTTTACTGATAGATGTCTTTTAAAAAAACGCGATGACTTTTTACTTAACCTAATATATATACATATATATGTCGTAATTTTAATGAATTAAAAAGTAACAAAACAATGAAATAAAAAAAAAAGAATTATTTAGCATAGCTGTCTATTTCTTTATAACTCACTGTACAAGAATTTGAATAATGTATCCAAATAATAATTGCTTAACAAATTGTAAACTATTGTCAGATTGCACGTATTATCATAAGGAAATTAAGTATGAAGATTGTTTAAATTATTAAAATAATTGTATGTACATACATTTATTACAACAATGAAGATGTCATTAAATTTAAATTGTTACTTTAAGAATTATAAGTATAAATTGGATAAAAAGTAATTTGGATAGAAGTAATAAAAATGATATCTTATTGTTAACCAAAATTTCGGGGTTCGTTAGGAACCCTGATGCGGTTCTATGCCTTCCAACCCTTTACACGGTCCTATGCATAATTAAGCTTAAAATAATTTTGGGAATAATGGATAAATCTTCTAAAACAACAATTGAACTAAAAAACAATTTCTTGAGGACTTTGTAGGAGATTTGAAAATCTTTATAAGAACTACAATTATCATGTAACAAAAACTTGAATCATTTTGATTATGACGATCTGTTATGTCTTGAATACATGTAATAATGTCATTTTATTTAAACAGAATGAAATAATAACGTAATGATTCTCATTATAACAAATATGTAAAAAAAAGAACATTAATTTCGGTAATTTATCATCACGTTGTATCCATTAGTTTTTAATTTAATTTTGACGTAACATATCCTTCCACATGCATGAATTAAAGAAAGACGATCACCTTCAACAGAGATAAATATTTTAGATCGAATGTTTGAATACTCGTAGAATGTGCCCAAGATTTAAATTTGTTCTTTATTTTAAAAAATATAAATGATCATTTTATTTATGAGAGAACGAAAAAGGGAAGGAAAAGAAAAGGAGCAAGAGAAGATAAAAGAGAGCAAGAGAGAATCTGTTAAATTGAATATTTGTTTTTTGCCGTCTTCAGTTACCTCTCTCTCTCTCTCTCTCTTTTTGTTAACCACATCCTACACAGCACGAGGAGTTCCTCGTGCCGAAAGCTTATAAAATTTTTGTAGCTTCATTTAAGCTTCAAAAAGAACTCCCCGGGAACTCCGCTTTTGAGAGTTCCCTGAGAGCTTCATTTTGCAGGGAGATCTTTTTAAACTTCTCGAGAGCTCAGCAAAATAAACTCCCTTCCAATTGAACATAAATTAAAAGTAACATAACGTTAGAGTTATAATTTCGTATTCTACAATATAAATGTAATATAACACATATTACATAACAGTTATATTATGGAGTGCGAAATTATAACATTGACACACTGACAAGATATTATTAAAGACCATCGATCCTGAGCAAAATTTTCATGACTATCAATGGGACTTCAAAGGCCCGGAGATAATTGAAGAACGATGATATTACCGACAATTAATAAAAATTTACGATTATTAACATAAATATTTCGATAATTTATTATTAAATTCGTGATTTTTTTATTATATAAATGCTGTATAAATAAGTATGTGCACTTTTAATGCTATAATATTTTATATATTGCCGAAAAATTATACTTTTTTCTCTGCAGTTATTATCTCTATTGATAATCAAACTCGAATAGTAACATTAAAGTCACAGCTTAAAAAAATTGAGTATTATTAAGTTTTAAACATATATGTATACATGTCTACAAAATTAAATCGTGAAATTAGTATTATTAATTTCTTACTGTTAATTATTTAAAAATTTGAACAGTCACGCGAACTTCCACGAGCGCCGATCGTCTTTAATATAATATCTCGTCGGTCGGTTATTGACGTTATCTGTTACTTGCAATTTGTATCGACTGAGCTGAGAACTGAATCGAATTTTGTAAGCTCCCTGAGAGCTCGGCAATATGAACTCCCTGGGAATTTGTTTTGTCGAATTTTATAAGTTCCGCGAGAGCTTAGCAAAATAAACTCCCTGGGAACTTAATCGGAGCTTCATGCTTTGTGGAATTGATATACTATTGTATTTAGATGTGAATAACGCAGTCTATGCTCTATAGTCTATGTCTTAGCATTCTGCATGTTAAACTCATTGCGCATGCGTATATACGTATGAATATGTAATTGGGTCTTGAATTGACAAGTATATGTACAAAGGGAATATCGATCGATATATCGAATCTTTTATCAGCTCATTTTCATATGGTGCGCATTGTACATCATACTGTTGATTTTCTACTTTACACAGAACTTTGCACAAAAAATTCTTTGAAAAAATAATAACGTGTTCAGGTGCATACAATGTAATATAATCAATTATTACTTACCGGCGACGATCTGTTTTTCACACGGGAAATACTTAAAATGCGTCCCTCTTGCATAGTTTTTTGGGCCTGCGGAAAACTCGCCACTGCTCAAAAGGAGTTTCCTTCCAGCGTGTCGCAGTCTTGTGCTCAACTTGCTGAGCATCATTATTACTTTATTTATTTATCTCTCTCTCTCTCTCTCTCTCTCCCTCCCTCTTTCGTTTCGGTTCGTTAAGCAACAAACCGTTCGTTAAGAGGTAGCGAATGAGTATCTCTAGTTTGCACACAATGCCGATATTTCGAGGAGGTTCTCTCGCTCAACCTCACGTGGAATTTCGAAACGATTTTCAGTCGAGGTCGAAACACGAGTGAGAGTGCGCGCGTGCGCGCGCGCGCGCACGCTGGTGATCGAACGATTGACGCGGTGCCGATCGCCGTTGCGCGTCGATCGTACAGACACGAACAGAAACTGGTTTCTTACCGATGTACAACGACGAAGCATCGAGAACGCAAGCATGACTCAACTAAATAGGGGATAGGAGTTCTCCGAGGAGTGGGAGAGGAACTGCGATAAGTCGGTGACGTTAGTAATATGCTTATCGTTTAGTGTGCTCGGTGTGTTTGATTTTGTTTTCAGATCAATTACTAGATCTCTAGTGTTGTGAGTGATGCTTGACGTCAATCGCGTATTATATATACGAAGGTATGAGAGAAAAGAATATTTCAATATCACGGATTTAAACGCGTTATAAAATAACATGGTGTCTCAAAACAATTTGTTGTTATCGCGCTCCGCTTTCGTTTTCATGGCTGACAGAATGGCGAATTTCAGTATCTGCGTAATTGATAAGGAAGGTATTTATATTAACAATGTTAATCAAATAAATGGGATTAAGTATATTTAATTCAATAATTTTCATTTAATTTTCGCTTAATTATATATTTATGTGCTTATATATTTTATGTGGCTCGTACATTACGAAATTGGATTGTTTTTTTATATCTTCAGTCGATTTTGTTTTATCGATCAATGGTTATAAAGAAAATTCCTAAATGTACATGTTCCAACAGCAGAGCTATTTTATCGACTGTAGATGTAAATTATAAAATTTTAAGGAGAACCCACTTGAATCAATGAAACGACGTGAGAGCAGACTGAAGTCTGGATACACGGATGCAATCCTCGGCGGGATCAGCTTGAGAAGGAACAGGGGATAAAGGGATGCGTGGTGCGCGCTTTGTCGGCCATTACGGATTCGTTTGGATTCATTTTCGTGGACGCGTTGTTCAACTTCGGAATTGTTTTTGACAAATATCGTAGTACAAGGAACCGAGGCTATTATTGAAATCGATTGAGCGAGAATCCGGATTTCGTCAGACATGGACGTGAATAGATCCAGCAACGGTGACTACAAGTATCAGAGAGATGAGGATGTCGACGAAAAACCCAGGTCACTCGATGAGTCTGAGAAGGATCACCAGTCCGACAAGGCCGGCGAGTATATGAACGAGCTCTTGCAAGAAAAGATCGAATTAGATGGGCAAAAATGGCCCAACGCCATCCGATTGTTGGATCAAGGTGAGTCAAAAGAAATAATTTTTAAGTAAATATATTCTCTAATAGATGATCTTGTAGAAGAGTCATTCCATCATTCATGATGAGAAATCGCCGGAATGTCCGGCTGAAAATAATTTTCACTCGCAATAAAATTGGATTAAGTATGCGATTGATGCTCGAATCAACGAAATTTTAATTCAATAGAATTTAGTTTTGAAGACAATGTATTTGTTTGAATTTTTTGGGACATAATTTACATTGAATATATCACTTCGAAAATCTTCAGACTCTTTGGCATTGTCTGGTTATTGAAGTATTTGTTATCTTTATTAATTAATTTTATGTCTGGTATTAAAAGGAACAAATAATGTTGGTAAATATTATTTTGTAGTGTATTGTCATTAATTTCGAAAAAGAAAAAAATTAAAAAAAAAAATCAATCTTTTCTTAACGAAAGGAAATAATTGTAGACTGTATATTTTCCTTATAGACATTCTGTGTATATCTGTTGATTGATTCAAGATAAAAGATTAAATAACATAATAACAATAATAAATTTAATAAAAAACAAATAAGTAATTTATACAGCCTTGACCATGAAGATAAGTATAAAGAAATTAATTTATCATATTTTCTTGTAGAAGGTAGTAATAGAGATCAAATTTTAGGAACTAATAAAATATTAAAATTGTTATAAGAATAAATATTTTTTAATAAAATTTTTAATTTATTTTTATTAAATATAGAACGTTTAGATCAATATGTGAAGATTTATACTTATGGCCAAAGCTGTAGTAAAAATATATTGAATTAAGGTGTAATAAATAAATTATGTAACTTTGTTATAAAAAAATTACATGTTTTGTAGAAATTCAAAAAACAGAAACTTTGCGAAGACCAATGAGAGAATCAAAATATGTGGATATCTATCGTGAAAAGCATGTTCGTGTATCTGTCAAAGTACTAGTACCCATCCGTGAACATCCTAAAGTAAGTACTTCTATTTACAGTAATCTAAACAGATTTGAGATGAATTTGATTTATGTAATGTATTTTCTGCCTTAAGTTTAATTTTGTTGGGAAATTGCTTGGTCCGAAAGGCAATTCTATGAAACGCTTGCAAGAAGAGACAATGTGCAAAATGGCAGTGTTAGGCAGAGGATCTATGAAAGATAAACAAAAAGTTGGTAACAAAGGAAGATTATTTACTTATTTTCTTTTTTACTCTTTATCTTTGAAAAAGAAATTGATTTCTATTTTTATGATGGATCTTTTAATCTCAGGAAGAAGAACTTCGTGCTTCCATGAATTTGAAATATGCGCATCTTGCCGACGATCTGCACGTGGAGATTACAGCTATTGCCCCACCGGCGGAAGCTTATGCTCGTATTGCTTTCGCGCTCGCCGAAGTGCGAAAATATTTAATTCCCGATAACAATGACAATATACGCCAAGAACAAATGCGTGAAATGGAGATGGGCATGTCTGATGATACTGTCTCAAACGATCGCAGACCTTCGATGAGAGGACCTTCGAATCTTGATGGTAATATACCGAGGCCTGCTGCAAGACAGGGACCTAGACAGTCTAGAGGTTGGTTATTTATTGTAAAAATTGTACAATACATAAAAGTATTGAATATATAAGATTAAGAATCTACTCTCTCTATAATTGATTATTTTGAGCTTGTGTTTAAGATGTGATGTTTTGCAATTAATATATTTAAATTTTATGATAAGATGTACATATGTATATTGTATGTATGCATATATATAAAATACACATGAATTTTATACATGTATATATACATAACATATATAATTATAATTATATATATAAATTAAATTTATTTTTGTTTAGCTATGTTTCCTCCACCTGTGAATCGTGGGCCACATGCTCGTGGACCTGCAGCATCTAAATCAAAGGTGTTCTCCATTTTGGATCGTGCGAGAGTTGCTATGGATCAAGGTTACAAGTAAGTTTAAATTTTACACATAATATTTAACAGATAGGACTCTTTTTATACAAAATAAATAACAATAAATAAAGGGCAAAGTAAGAATTAAACACATTTTATAAATTGTCATTTATAAAATGTATTTGACTCTTACTTTGTCTTTTATTTATTGTTTATTTTACACATAATGTCTTAGGTAGCAAGATTGCTTCATTAAAATGTAAATTAAATATATTGAATATTCAAATCTTTTTATTCTAGTAGTTATGATAGTCAAACTCCTGCAACAAATCGTACTGGATCACATGATTTTGATTATCACGGTTCATCAGGTGGTAACAATCGATATGGTGATCGTTATACATCAAATGCTGGGTATGTATTATAATGTTTATTTACGATGATAAGAATAAGAGAGAATAATGTAAAGTTTGAGAAATAAGATTCTCTAATATATATTAAAATTTTAATGTACATAATATAAATAATATATAAATATAAATTAAAATAAAGAGAATTTTTTTTACAGACAGATATGTATTTCTTTATGAAATGCAATTTTACATATGATTCTTTTTATATTACTTAATTATTTGATATGTAATAGTTAGATCTAATAGATGAAAATATCTTTTTTTAAGATACACGACTTACGAATATGATGATGAGTCTGCACCACATTCTTCACGTGATTATTACGACTCTTCTGATTATACAGGTAAATTATTATATTTATATGTTTGCTTGATCATATTAAATTTAAAAAATTCACTTTTGAGGATATACTTCTTGTGATTTTGATTTAACCCTTTCAGTGTCAATGACGGAAAAATCCGTCAAAATAAAACTGGCCAAAAGTGCTTCATGACGGAAAAATTCACATATTTCATAACAGCAATAAATCACTTTTGCAGTGCAGCAATTGAACTGATAATGCATACTTTAATGTTTTTGAGGCCACTGAATATTAATTTGAAGTAAAAATTCTAAAATTAAAAATAGCTGATCCAAAATGGAGGACTGTAAGTTCGAAAATTTTGTAATTAAGGGTTTTTTAGGTTGCTGATTATAAATTTGATATCAGATTTAAAAAATTGAAGATTGCGGATTTAATATGGCGAATAATAATTTTAAAAATTTTTCCAAATTTCATAAAAATTTTCAAAATTTAACAAGTTCACAATTAGCGACCTCAAAAACTGATTCCAAAGTTTCTAAAGAAATTTGTCACATAAAAAAGTTCATGCATAGATAGTGAAAAAAGTCGAAATTTTCGAATATTTAGTCCGCCATATTGGGTCAATCATTTTGAATTTTGAAATTCTGACCTTAAATTCCTGATCAGCGCCACAAAAAACTCCAGGAAAAGTGACTTACTTTATATTTCTAAGTTTATGTTATTAATAGCATTCTTAACACACAAGCGTTTTTCGTGCCTGACACTCAAGGGGTTAATAGTAAAAAATTTTTTCCTATTAGAAATGTTACATATTTATTTTAGTATTTGTTTTAATTCTTTTATACATTTATTACTTATTACTTGTAATTTTTTATTTATTACGTGTGAATTCTTCTAACTTTTTCTAAATAATATAAATATTTTATTATGCTTACGCAGGGTTTATTGTTACATACTAATTTTATTATATAAATTTTACAATATAAATATACGTAAATAAACACTCGAGAAATTCTTAACATTTATAATTATTTTAAGTTCTGGAATTATTACAATTATTTCAAAAATATAATTAATAAAATTTATAATATTTATAAAGTTTATAATGTGCTTAAAACAGAACTATTGAAAGATTTTATAGGAATGCATTTAAATTGTTATTTATGCATAATAATTTTTAATTATGAATTTACAAATTTAATTTTCTATATGTCGTAAAAGAAATTATTTTAGATTAATAATTGTATTATAAATATTTTTTGCCAAATTATTTTATTAAATCCCTAATAATTATACAAATAAATCTTAAGACTAAATAATATCTTTATATGATTTGATAAAAATTAATAATATTTGAGAAAGTTTTACTAAAATTTTTTATCAATGGAAATTAATTTTAATATGATTTTTAACACAAAC